ACAACAGCAGCACCTATGACAGGTCGTAAATAAGATGAGTAAAAGCAATGCTCATTGGGGGAGAATTAAATAAAGTCAAGCAGTGATATTAAAGATCCAAAATGCATTAGGGAAACTAAACAATTTAGCGTATGTAAAAAAAAAAAATTACAGAGTTTGAGCAAATATGCTGAATATGAGCTGGCTCAGCAGCAGAACCAAAGAGGCTACAGTCCTCTGAGCGCTGGTCAGGTCCCTGGTTCGATTCTGGGGCCAAGGGAACTTACTGCATGTACAAATAAAAATAATGTGAATAAAGAAAATCTCATAAAAGAGAAAATCCTCCAAATGAGCTCACCTCATCCTCCTTTTTGACCAGTTGTCTAATAACAGCTGTGTGCTACAGTGACGTGTCTGGTCACACACACAGGATGTGGCTCTCTGCCCAGGGTGCCATTGTGTTTGGGACTAACATCTGTCTGTTTTGTCTTGGTTCTTACAGTGTCCAGTCAGAAGGGAAGGTCGCTGTGAGAAAGTGAAGCTTTACAATCCTGCTGGCTAATGACGCTGTGGTGGTTGGTTGCTGTGTGATTTGACGTTGGTTGCTGTGTGATTTGACATTGCTGTGATGGATTATATTTAAGAGTGTTTCCTTTTAAGGAATCTGAATGCATTTGATCAACTTGAGTTCAAAGTCTAACACATTGCTAATGAGTGTTCTATGCTGAACAGAGGTTAATAAAATAGTTTGAGATTTATGAAACATTTATTGCATTTTGGGGGAAAATACATTTCTAATGCTTTTTGGGCTATGAAACCACTTCTGAATGACTGTAATGTAACTGAGTGAATTATTAGACATTAAATACTGATATTTCTAAAAAACAAACTTGATTTGTTGAATTGCATTTGTGAAACTACACAACTTACTGTCATGACTCAGGGTTGAGGTGCAGTGAGTGAGACATCGTCGGACCAGGTTGAGAGATGAAGAAAAAGTTGATTTTAATGAAAAAGCTATCCGCAATGTGTTCCAAACCACAGGCAGCACAGTTGAGCGGACAGTAAAGCTCACACTGGTAGAACTGACTAACAAGAAACATAAGATGTCTGGAACTACAACTAAGACAAGGACCCGACAAGGAACAAACACAGGTGGGTTTAAA